TGCAAGTTTTCCTATAGGGATGTTATAACAGTGATACGATTTCAGCCAAACTCAAAATTCAAAAATAATTTTTTTAAAACCCAGTTCAATGTCTTGACGCTTCTAGCTTTCCTAGCCTCATGATTTTGTTGGCTGATGCTGATAACTGTTGCTGTAGCTAGTTTAGCTAAGTTAAACGCTAGCTCCATGAATTGGCTAAAGCTGTCCATCAGCTGATCTTAGCATTATTCTGTAGGTGACCGCCAAGAGGAGCCATTGTTACTGCAACTGCAATGGTAAAACAGTGTCCCTTGAACTTTTTGGAGGGCAAGAAACCAAAACTTTTAAATAGCCATGTGGACATAATGTCCATGTGAAAGTTGAAAAAAAAAAACAATCGTTTTTTTTTCAGAAAAAGTCTGTACCAGAACTGAAACAATGGGCCCCTTAAGTGTGGTGTCGAGTTTGCCTCCTGCAAGTAAACGCAGGCAGAGAGCCAGCAGTCTCAAACCCTCCAGTGCCATTGATGGAAAGCTCCTGCCTTGAATGGTCTGGGTGCGGACCTAATGCTGACAGTGAGATACCGGGTGCTCACCCAGAGCGTCCGTAGTCCACGCACCGGTCCCACGTTGTCGAAATGTCCAGGCACAGTGAAGGAGATGATGTAGTTGTAGTATGGGTTATCTATGTCCACCCCTCTGATCTCAATCTGGCGAGCATACAGCAGGAACTGACGAGACTCTGCAGAGTAGGGAACATGTTGACAGGCATCCTTCAGTAATTCCCCAAAGCTTCAGCAGTCAATGGGAGTAATCAGGAGTTAAATACAGACTCAAGTCAGAAGCCAAACATGTGAGTGCACACTACAAGGCTTTTGGAGATTGGTGGCTGCAGCATGGATGGGTGCATCTGCGCATTTTTCCTCCCACTATAACAAACAGTTAATCCAATTGCATCTTTGACTCTAATGATTGTGTCTGGCTGGCTCAATTCAATAGGCCAGCCGTGACAGCAAGAGTGAATTCAATCAGTGCAGATACGTTACAACTGCATTGGTCTCAACAGCCCTAGCATCATTTAACTGTGTGCAGCTTAAATGATAGACAGGAAGCGAGGGAAAAGGAAAGAGAGAGGGGGAGAGTAATGACAGTGTCAGGCTGCCTCGGCCAGGCCAGACTAGGTGGTGGATGGGGAAGGTTGAGGCTGATGCCTGCATCAGACAGAATGGGGCTCTCCATTCCATTACCCCTGAAGATAATAGAAAGTGCTGCACTGAATACTAAACTCACACACTGAATAAACAGGCCCGATCTCACTTTTCACGGACAGACACTTCAATGTGCCCAAAAGCTGTCACAGCAATAGCACCTCAAAGTGAAAAAAAGTCTAGATTGTTTAATCCTCTCTCTCTCTCTCTCT